TATATATATATATATATATATATATAAATTGTAGTATATACTATATAGTTGCTATATACTATATAGTATAGTCTACTATAGTATATATATATGTACTATACTCTACCAATAGTATAATTACTATGTACTATATAATTGTACTATATAATTATATACTATGTAATTACACTATATACTATATAGTATAGTCTGGTATAGTATATAATTACTGTATACTATATAGTCTACTATATATAGTATATAAAAAATATGCCAACTATACTTGGAATATTTTTTCATTTCTTTTCAAGGTCTTCTCCACTTAGACGAACCACCCTGTCTTCAATCAATTACAAATTTACAGCGGCTGAAATTACATATTGAAATTCTTCCGTTTCTCTCTGTAGGAACACGACCGACTCTTCCGTTCTTCGCTGTTGAATCAATCATTTCCGATTTAAGCTTGTTTCTCTCTTTTTTTTTTTTTTTTTTCTTTTCTTTGTTCCAAATTTCTACAGATATTTCCTGAACAGTTTCCTCGAAACAGCTCACCTGAGTAGTGGAGTCCCTTCTGGTGGTAAGCATAGGATGCGTCGGCGTGCAGACGTTGGGCGAGCCAACGGGGCTGGAGCTACCGGAAGTGGAGGTGCCGGGTAGAGGAAGGTTGCTACCAACGGTCGGTGAAACACTCGGCGGTGTTACCGACGACATGACGATGGTGGGCGGTATGATGGACGACGAGTCGAAGGTCAGATTCTTACACTCGGCGACGGCCTTCGACTCGACGATCGAGGCGGTCAACGTGGTCGACGTGGTCGTTATCATGCTGGTGGTCGACAAGACTGTCGTGGTGGTCGTCGACGTTTTCGACTCGGTGCTCGTCGTCACCGGTATCTTGCTCTCGATGCTGCTCGATCGCTCGCTCTTGTCCATGGAGTTGCGCGTTTCCAAGTGTTCCCTGTTTCAAGGAAGGGAAACATCTGAACATCCTTGATACCGAAACATTCGCACAAGGAAGGGGGAAAGACAAAAATAATTTACACCTCGAATGATCGATGATATTCAAAGGTAATCGTCCCGGTTTCGGGATCAACAGTTAGTTAGACGATCGTCGTGTACCTGACAGCGTTGCTGGTCGCGCTGTCGGTGCTGGACGCGCTCGGTCTTTGATCGCTCCTGTAATATTTCATGAGCATCACGCCGCTCCCGCTGTCCATCGATTGCTGCGACTGCCTGCGCCTGTGATGGCTGCACATGTGCTTCCGCTCGCCTTGGCTCTTGGTCCTTCCGCTCTCGCCGGAACCACGTCGCGAGCCTCTCGAGTCGCTCCAGCCTGCATCGAACATTCCGAGACACGCTCGTCCGTATAAATGGAGTAGAGAATTAGATACTGTCAGGGAATTTCGTCTTTTGTTTTGTGAAAGACACAATCGATCTCGTGGTAACAAATTGCACACGTTGCGCGCGTTTATTACAACCGAAGTTTAATTACTTTGTCAACCTCTTCAAGAAGACGTACACATACGTGTGCGTTTAGTTTCTTTTTTTTTCAATTATTCCAAGTAAAAAAGAAAATTAAAATCTGTTGGATAATCAAAACTAGACATTGATAATATTTTATTCCACTTGACAATCACTGCTTTTTAAATATTGTTGCCTCTTATGTTAAAGTTCTTTTGATTACTTGAAGAATAAAATATAGTTTCAATGATCGTATTAATTTCGAAATGCAATTTGTAATGTCAGTTCATTTTTTTTTTTTTTTTACAAGAAATTGTAAACGTACAGTTGTATATGTGTACAGTCATCGTTTCGAATAGTGTTTTCGTCACAATCTAATCTTTCTACTGTGTGTAGTACACAGGTTACGATGAAAGTCATTTTTACAAAACGCGTGAACGAGGTTTCTGTTGCCTACGTCTTCTGAAAGACATTACAATCTCGAGGCGATAATAATGATAATAATATCGTTCATATCATATCAATAACAAAAATTCTCTGCCTTCTCATTCGCATAATTTGCCATTAACGTTCAAATTGCTTCTGGCACTTTAAAATGTCGAAGAGAGAAATTTGTAACGCGACAATTTTCGAGCATTCCTCTCTGCAGAAATTGAAATTCCAGAGAGAGTTTCCGCACTCGCAGCTAACCTCGATAAGTAGGCGAGATGACGGTGGGAGGCGGTTGAGGCTGCGAAATCTCCTTCTTGCCCCATAGCCTGGCGATGTCGTTCTTCAGCTCGCTGATGGTCGAGTCCTTCCTGGATTTCGTCGACGCCTGGCTCCGGATCCCGCTGTCGACCGAACTCTCCCGCCTCTTGCGCAGCCTCTCCAAGTGGCTGGCGTCGGTGGTCGTCTGCCTGGACCATGGCAACGACTTGGCGATGTCGGCCAGCGTCTCGCGACGGTACAGCTTGTTCCGCTCGCTCTTCCCGGACGAGCCACCGCCGCTCCATTCCCGCAGGATGTCCGTCAATCTGGTCAAGCTGGACCGCCGGCGAGTTTGATTCGCCGTGGAGGACTCCTGCGGCTCGTTCGGCGGCGATATCGACGTGATCTGCGTCGCTGAGTCTCGTCTACCAGTTCCTGAACATACGAACAGAAACTTTCTTCACAAAACGGCAAATTTTAATACGCAGAAGCTATCTCTTGTCACTGGCTAATTGTGTGAAACAATCTAAATAAGTTTCTGCATACTTTGTTTATACAGAATGAATTTAATTGAAACTTTGTATATCTTTTGTATATAATATGTTTTAATAATTTTCTTTGGTATGATATATAGCAATATATATAGTGTGGTGTGATGAATTATATATAGCAATGTATAGCAGTGTATGAACTGTATATAGAAATATATATAGTG